AAACTCATGACTGGTGCATAGGGAGATTACTGATGCCATAAACAGGAGTGTCAATTTGTAAAGTCAACAACAGGAGTCACTGTGCACTTACTCCTCATGTAGGATCTCTGTCCTTAACGTGCTGTACACTGAGGCTTAATGCTATAACGAGTACTCAAACAGTATATTTCACTTTGTGTTTCTATGGGGGTGCAAACGATTGAAATCTTTACTTAATGTACACTAAACTGATCTTCTGTAAAAAAAAAAAAAAAAAAGAAATTATCAATTCCCCAACTTGACTCTCACTGGGATTAAACATGACAATAGGTCTGATCTGATTTCATCATCATTTAAAAAAAATTATCTATTATTTTTCACTTTATGTTTCTGTATGGGAACAAACTGTTGAAATCCTTACTTAAGGTATACTAAGCTGATCCTCTGTATATTAAGATAATCGAAAATGAATCTTGATGTGAATGGAAGGGGAGAGGGAGTGGGAAGTGGTAGGGTTGTGGGTGGGAGGGACGGTATGGGGGGGAAAGCCATTGTAACCCATGAGTCGTACTTTGGAAATTTATATTCATTTAATAAAAGATAAAAAAAAAGTAAAAAGCAAAAAACTCTGATGGAAATATAGACAATGGCTATAAATAATTTTCAAATGGAAAAATGATCATTTCACGCATATAAAATAAATTTTAAAGTAATCAAAGATCATTAAAACTATAGTAGTATAACATTCTTAGCCATTGGTTTGACAAAAGTAAAAATCAAAGATTTACCAAACTAATTTGCAGCAATACTGATAAACATTTCTTTCTCTTTTCTTTCTTTTTGGTTTTTAAATTTTAGCTTCCACATATAAAGAAGAACATCTAGTATTTTTCTTTCTGGGTCTGGCTTTTTCACTCAATGTGATATCCTCAAATTGTGTTCATTTTACTGCAAATGGTAGAATTTAATTTTTGTTTACACCTAAATAATATTCCGTGTGTTTATACACCACTCTTCTTCATCCATTCATCTGATGTTGGACATCTTGGTTGATTCCAAATTTTGTTTATTGTGAACTATGCTACTATAAACATGGTGGGGCAAGTATCTCTTTGATACCTTGTGCTCAAGTTTTCTTAAAAAAAGATTTATTTATTTTCAAGTTAGAGTTACAGAGAGAAAGGCTGAGACAGAGAAAGAGAGATCTTCCATCTTCTGGTTCACTCCCCCAAATTGTCACAATAGCTGGAACTGGGACAGACTGAAGCCAGGAGTCAGGAGCCCCCTCAGGGTCTCCCACTTAGGTTCAGGGGCCCAAGCACTTACTCCAATCTCTGCTGCTTTCCCAGGCACATTAGCAGGGAGCTGGATTAAGTGTGAAGCATCCAGGGCTCAAACTGGCACCCACATGGGATGCTGGTACTGCAGGCAGCAGCTTAACCCACTACACCACAACACCAGCCCCCTGTTCAAGTCTTTTGGATATATACTTGGTTGTGGGATTGCTGGATCATCTGGCAAGTTTATTTCTAGTTTTTTTTAAAAAAAATCTCCACATTGTTTTCCACAGTAGCTGCCCTAATTTACATCCCCATAAAGAGTATATAAGGATTCCCTTATATACTTTGTCAATATTTGTTATTTTGTGTTTTGGATTTTTTCCATTCTGAGAGGGGTGTGGTAATATCTCATTGTGGTTTTGAATTGCATTTCCCTGCTAGCTAGTGATATTGAGCATTTTTCACATGTTTGATGGACATTTGTATTTCTACTTTTGAGAATTGTCTGTTGAACTCTTTCCCATTTCTCAACTGCACTGGTTATTTTTGTTGATGTTGAGCTTTTTAAGTTTCTGATATATTCAGAATATCAATCCTTTGTCAGATAGGTGGTTTGAAATTTTTCCCCATTATGTTGGAAGTCTCTTCACTCTGTTGATTGTTTTCTTTATTGCACAAAAGTTTCTGAGTTTGATATAACTCATTTCTTTAGTTTTGCTTGTGGTGCCTGTGCTTTGGGGGTCTTATCCAAGAAGTCATCCCCTACACCAATGTCTTGGAGTGTTTGCCACATGTTTTCCCCCAGCAACATCATAATCTCAGGCCTTAAATTTATGTCTTTGATTAATCCTGATTTGGTTTTTGTGTATGGTGTGAGATATGGGTATAATTTCATATATACATATATTTACATAGTCATATATATACACACACAGCATACAGCACAATTTGTTCAAGAGATGATCTTTAATCCACTATATAATCTGAGCACTTTCATAAGAAATCAGTTACCTGTATGTATGTAGATTAATTTCTGGACTCTCTATTCTGTTCATTTATCTATGTATTGGTTTTTATGCCAATATATGCTGTTTTACTTACCATAGCTTTGTAGTATACTTTGAAGTTAGGTATTGTGATGTCTCCAGCTTGATTTTTCTTGTTCAGTATCAATTTGCCTGTTCTGGGTCTTTTGTGATTCCATATAAATTTTAGGATTGCTTTTTCTAATTCTGTAAATAGTGTCATTGGTATTTTGACTTTTCTCCTGGTCTTGGCTGGAATTTGTTTTATTCTCACTCTGTCTCTATACTACAATGTCTGTTCAAGTGCTTACAGCTGGTGACGGGGCAAACCAAGGCCTTCGGCAACTAGGCGGTCAACCGAATGCTACTACAGGAATGTGCTCGGCTCCCCACCCAGGAGACAGGTGCTTAAGACATCACCCCATGACAGCGAAGAGTGCCTTGTTGCCCCACGTCAGCAGGGGTGGCTCTGAAGATGGATCATCATCCCTCTGCCCCTCCTGGACTTTTGAAACTGATGTGGTGGGCTGTGTGCCACTCTGGAAAAGAATGCTGCTCTTATGCCAATCACTAGGGCCTAATAAAAGATAACATGGCTGGCTAAAGTCAGGAAAGGTCTGGACAAGCACCAAAGAGACCGGGAGGCCTCCCAGGGATGGTTTGCGTCTTGGTTTAATTCCTCTCCATGGCTCACCACCCTCCTATCAGGAGTCATAGGGCCCACTAGCCTTCTGATTTTAATTTTAACCTATGGCCCTTACATTATTAACAAACTTGTACAATTTAGGAAACAGAGACTGGGCACCATTCAATTAATGGTCCAACGGTCCCAGTAGACCAATAAATGTTTGTGAAACCTGTGAACTGTCAGTCCAAAACCCATGATTGAGTTTTTCAAACATGTACAAAAACAAGGGGGGAATGAAGAGCCAAAGTGACTCCATTCTAAAACAATAAAAAAAGCAGCCTCCGTTTCCCATAGCAGACCCGAGTCCCTGTAAAAGCAGGCATTCAGGCATTCCAGAGATATTAAAGCTTACCAGGGACAGCTAGCTCAGTAGACCAAGCACAGCACAGTAGAGATTGCTAAACAAAGTACTCCCTGTCCCCAAAACTCCCATGCTGTAAGCCCCTGCTGTAACTCCCTGTACCCAAAGCTTCCATGCTGTAAGCACCCACTGATGTAACTCTTTTTTCCTGCTGATGTAACTCTTCTTTCCTTTAAAAACTCTCCCAAAGACCAGGGCCTCACAGCTTCCTCTGTTGTACCAGTTGGTTGGATGGGGTCCCTGTTGCGGCTTGTACTTTAAAAATAAACCTTGCTTTTGCAGTTCAGTGTGATCGGGTCACTGATACCTTCTTGGGGATCTACTTATCTGGGCACAACAGTACCAATGCCATCTCACTAGTCAAAGTGATCAGTTTCAGTTCATAATTGATCACAAGGATAGAAATAAGTGTCAAAGGGATCACATAAACAAGACTAGTGTCTGCTAATACTATCTGATAGAATTAAAAAGGAGAGAACGATACAACATGGGAAGCAGGATACACAGCATACTCATAGAATGGCAGATGTCCTAAACAGCACTCTGGCCTTGGAATCAGCCCTTAAGGCATTTGGATCTGGATAAAAAGCTAATGATAGTATTTCAGGTATGGAAAGCCAAGACACCCTGGAAAAAAAAAAATGACCTAAATGAAAGATCTCTGTGAGTGAGATCCCAGCGGGAAAAAAGGGCCATCAAAGAAGGAGATACCTTTCTCTGAAGGGAGAAGAGAACTTCCACTTTGAGTATGAGCTGTCTGAATAAGTTCGGAGTTGGTGAACTCAAGAGGCTTCCATAGCCTTGGCAACTCATGACAAGAGCCTCAGGTGATTACTGACGCCATAAACAAGAGTGTCAATTGTTAAATCAACAACATGAGTCACTGTGCACTTACTCCCCATGTAGGATCTCTGTCCTTAATGTGTTGTACTATGTAAATTAATGCTATAACTAGTACTCAAACAGTACTTTATACTTTGTGTTTCTGTGTGGGTGCAAACGGTTGAAATCTTTACTTAGTATATACTAAATTGATCTTCTGTATATAAAGATAATTGAAAATGAATCTTGATGTGAATGGAATGGGAGAGGGAGTAGTAGATGGATGGTTGCAGGTGGGAGGGAAGTTATGGAGGGGAAAGCCACTATAATCCAAAAGTTGTTTTTTGGAAATTTATATTTATTAAATAAAAGTTAAAAAAGTTGTTAGGGATTTTTCCATTTCTTCAAGTTTTTCCCATTTATTAGCACATAGTTGATTATAGTAGTTTCTTATGCTGCTATCTGTAGTTTTGTGGTATATGGCCTGCATTATGTGGCGATACCTGCCTTTTATACATAACTTGTTGACAATTTTCTTTTGTTTCACAGTAATTTTTTAAAATACAGAAATTATTCTCATTTTTAAACATCAAACATTTCTTAGTGCCTGTGAAAGATCCTCTGCCTCAGTAGTTAATAAGATAAGTGAGGTATAGTCTCTGTCATCAAATTATGTAGAAAAGCAGAAATTACTTTAAGGAGGAGATAAAGAAAATTCCCGTCTAGTATCCTATGAAAGTTCAAGGTCCTCCAGCATGTTCTTAAACCTTGGTCTTGCTTTTCCATTTCTTCTGCCTCTCTAAAGTTCTAAATCTTTGTTATGACACATTCTAGAACTTTCATGACTACAGTACCATAGTTTGCTTCTGATTACTTGAGCTATAAAATTCTTTAGTAACCCTCCATATATTTGCCTGCAAGGGCCTGCCTGACACTCCAGTTCAAACTGCTATGAAACAATTCTTTCGGTCTTGATCTGCCTCTGACTGAGAAATCCAGATGACACGGAACTCACTGAAGACAATACTTGGAAAATGTCAATTTTCGGTATGGATCATTTCCTTTCCTGGTTCTTCCTTAACCATATTGCCCAGGAATCTTCTCTTGGGATTTTAACATAAATATTTTACCTTCCTTGTTTGCTGTCTAGTCAAACTCAAGGTCCTTTCTTTCACTGTCATTTATTCCTATGTGAGCCTGGGAGAAATCAATCATAGTCAACTCAGCTCCAGAGTGACAGCACTATTTTCCCCCATGGTTCTGGAGTATTAATTGATCAAAAAAAATAACCTTCCTCCATAGCTCTAGGAAAATTCATTAGCTCATTATTTTTCTCTTTTTGTAGTACCGTTCACTCTTTGATCTGTTCCAACTCTGAGAAATAATATTTTCCTCATACTTAATGTGGATCAATATCTAACCACCCCAGGGTCAGAGCATTTCAGACACCACTCAGAGGGATTACTACTTTCCAGAGGTTTATCCTCCATTCACTACATAATTTTCCTTTTTTCCTGTAAAGATAATTTCACATTAGTCAAAATTTCTATTCTCAATATGTTTACTGAGTGGTATATTATTAGAAGTAAATGTTGATTTGATAGAATTTTTGGACATTACCAAATACCTAGAAGATTAAGTAGACATGTACCTAGTCTTGATTGGAAGTATGTTATTACACATTGAGGTAGATTCACTTATCGAATTTTTGTGTATAATACTTTTTATTAGTTTTTCAGAATTGTATATTCTTCAACATTTTCACTGTCTAAGGTATATTTATGATTAGTTTCATCCTTCCTCTTCTTTTTTCCTCTCTCTTGTTCTGTCCCCTCATCTTGCCTTTTCTCCCAAACACAATAATAGCCTGTTCCTAAAAAACATGGCACATTATTAAGATTTTTCTTTTCTATGACTACATATCTGTCTTATATCAACTGAAACACATAAACAGTGGTTGGGCATTTCCAGCATGACTTATCCTATCTCAGAGGCTCATGGATTCTTTGTAAATCACTGATTCCCTTTAACCTTCTAATGCCTAGGGAGTAAGGGATTCAATTCATGAGAAAATTTGTCAGATTGTCCACTCTAAACAAAAGAAATACAGTATCTGAGGTTCTTAATATTTAACCGAAAGAACAAACATAACAGATAAGAAATGAGCTGGGTTGGGAATGTGAAGACCGTAAGATGCAGAAGATAGAGGAATTAAGGAGTTGAAGTAGCAGCAAAGAGAAAGAAAGGAGACAATCTGGTGGACAGTTAAGAATTGACCAGAAATTGCTTTTGGTAATGACCTGCTCCATATAAGCAGTCCTACAGGTGAGTTTTTGTTTCAGAAATAACTTTGGCTGTCATCCTGACTCTACTGGGACTTGCCATTCTGGCTATTTTGTTAGCAAGATGGACACGACGAAAGCAAAATGGTAAGTAACAATGTATCAAAATGAAGATTTCCTATGAAAGTCACAGAGGGAGGGATGCCAAGAATCAGTCTGAGTTTATTTCTAATTTTCAGATAGAGACTGCCAATATTCTAAGACTGTTTCAATACATGAGTCAAAGAATATGACCTATTAGTGATATCCCTTGCATTTTTAAACTCAAAGCTTAAATGATCCATCTCAACAAATTTTAAAAAATCACAGAGTTCAGCAAATATAAGAAAAACATTTTAAAACTATCTGTTCTTCAACAGAAATTTACCTAAGTTTAAAAAATGAAGGTGATAAAATGGTATTCTAGTAGACACTAATATCTAGTATTTTATAGAAAGAATCAGAGACTTAGTGATTTCACATAGGTAAGATGAGACAAATACACAGTAGTACTTGTCAGTGAAATAGAGATGTGACACATGAAAGCAAAGACCTTTTCTACATCATAAGGTATGTCTAGGATTTTTCTTATTGTCTTTCCCACCCCCTTCTAATCAGCTATATTTCCCACTTATTTCCTATCTTTAATGCCTGTGAGAATAAGTAGTATGAAAAAATAGACAGAATAAGCCTGGTTGAAACTCATAAAAAGTGGTTCAACAATACATTATATCAGGAACAAGAATAAGCAGTATGAAAAAATATAATAAGGCTAGTTGAACCTCATGAAAAGTGGTTCAACAATTATATCAGGAACATCACCTTTGTTAAGGGAAGCAAAGCTTAAAGTGAAGAGAGTTGGATCAGGGGAAGAACACCTCTCAAAAGAAGCTAATAAAGATATTTTTGCCTAATTTTTCCACAGAAACTTATATGTCCAGATACAGTTCAGAACAAAGTAAGTATTTATACCCTTAAGAATATACTTAGAGAGAGAGAGGCATTCATGGACAGTTCATAATGCAAGAATGAAATCTGTCTTGTTTATTTCCTTCACTTGTATAGTTACCATTCTATGAACTGAACTCTAAGTTACTGGGAGAAATCAAAGATTAGGAGAAGTCAAAGACTTATGAGCAGTGCTAAATGTCAAAGTGGAGTTGGTCCAAATGAATTAGTAGTGAGAAGGACTGCTTAGTAGTGGGACAGCCTACATTATTCTGAAGCTGGACTGAGATGCTCCCTGTGGTCTGAAAGCAGAAAGGGAGCTACCAAACATAGAAATGGAAGCCTCAGGAACTGCAGAGGATCCAGCAGCAAATTTAAGTCTCATAGTGAAGAGGGCCTCTGTAGGGTAGCTCAATAGAATTTAAACTATTCAGGAATAATGTGAGCAAAGTTAAGTTAATTATCATTGAGATGAAGAGTACCAAGTTCAAGATATAAATAAGTAAAGCAGAATTTCATGGTAAGGGTTGGAAAGACACTCAGGTTGCTAAGAAAGGTAGTCCATTATTGGTAAGTGAGGAAAACCAGGAGCTAGGTGCTCAAATTCTAAGAGGTAAGAGCAACTTTGAAGCTCCTTCTGATTCTCATTTTATATTATAAAATTATTATTTTATAATCTCATTATTTTATTTTTTATTATTCATTATTATATTAGCCTGTCTAATATAATAAAATTTGTGACAGCAGCTTATCATTATCTGCTCCTATGACTTAACCATAATCTCTAGTTCCTGCAAAGTAAATTAATTCACATCATTATTCCTCATTGGGAGTTCATGTTTACACTAATTCACAGCCTGAAATAAAACCTCACTAATAATCAAGAAACAAAAACCTGGAGTTCTCTCTCCTTTCTTCTTTAGGTACTGGACTTCTGGATTCTGAGGATGATAAAGGTAAACAGATTAATAACTATTACAGAATTAAAGGAAGAATGCATTCATTAGAGAAGAAATGAGCTCATTTCTCTTCAAGCATAACTTGTTGTTAGCATGTCTTTTGCTATTACAATATATAATTATCTTCCAACCTTTCTAGGCATATATATCAGTGCTGCAATTGTTTATTAAAATAGATTTAAAAGGTAATCCACATGTGTCATGAACTTTTTGAGGTCCCTATATATTAAACACAGATATATACCCATAGATATAAACACAAAATAATTGTGCATTTTTTCTAGAAAAGGAAAATATTCCTCCTTTCTAGGGTCATTAAATAATTCATTTCCAGCTCTTACTTACTCCCAAAATCTCAAAAAGGTTAAGGGACCTCTCTGAAACATTTTTTCTAGATGTTTAAATGAGGATAAAAAATAGTTCACAGGTTGGCATAAAGATTAAATGGAATGGTATATTTGAAAACACACTTAGAAGACTATCCAGTATTACAGAAAAAAAACTTATTATTTCCATTTGAGAAGGTGAAATTGATGCTTAAAATGGTTGAAGCTTATCTGGATTTATTTAACTAAGGAAGGAATTAGATATTAAGCCTAGGTCTTGTGGCTCTGAATCAGTACCTAAAGTCTTATACCATAAAAGAACAGGTCTTCAAAGAAGGAGGTACCTGTCTCTGAAGGGAGGAGAGAACCTCCACTTTGACTATGACCTTGTCTAAACAAGATAAGAGTCGGAGAACTCAATGGGCTTCCATAGCCTTGGAAACTCATGACTGGTGCATAGGGAGATTACTGATGCCATAAACAGGAGTGTCAATTTGTAAAGTCAACAACAGGAGTCACTGTGCACTTACTCCTCATGTAGGATCTCTGTCCTTAATGTGCTGTACATTGAGGCTTAATGCTATAACGAGTACTCAAACAGTATATTTCACTTTGTGTTTCTATGGGGGTGCAAACTGTTGAAATCTTTACTTAATGTATACTAAACTGATCCTCTGTAAAAAAAAATAAAAATTATCAATTCCCAACTTGACTCTCACTGGGATTAAACATGACAATAGGTCTGATCTGATTTCATCATCATTTAAAAAAATCATCTATTATTTTTCACTTTATGTTTCTGTGTGGGAGCAAACTGTTGAAATCTTTACTTAATGTATACTAAGCTGATCTTCTGTATATTAAGATAATTGAAAATGAATCTTGATGTGAATGGAAGGGGAGAGGGAGTGGGAAAGGGGAGGGTTGTGGGTGGAAGGGACGGTATGGGGGGGAAGCCATTGTAATCCATAAGTCGTACTTTGGAAATTTATATTCATTAAATAAAAGTTAAAAAAAAAGTCTTATACCATACTACCCCCACTTTATTTATGACAAAAACAGGACTCATTTTATGCTGTAGAATTTTCAACATTTTCCATTATTAATAGAGAAATAAATTGCCATTTGAATCAGAACATGTGGTTTTACGTTAATGAAGAATAATGATAAAATATATTTGAAATAGAACTTCTTCAAAAATGTTATGATATTTTGGTATGTATGTATCTGCAAAAAGTAGGCAGTACCACCAATTTAAATGTACTATAGCTAACCTTGGTCCTTACACTCCAATACTTAGAATTCTCTCACAGTATGCACTCACCAGAATTGTCTGTAGATGTACCCTGCTCTCTCTCCTCCCCACCAGTTCTACCTCCAAAACTTATTAAAACTCACTCATTCCTTCAAGAAGCCAATAACTTGACTTTGACCTTACTATTCCCACCAAACAAACTAGAACAATGTAGTTGTGAATGTGTATACAATTACACACACACATACACACACGCACACACACACACAAACACCCCTCATGAACATATAGATCCCAAAGAGTTGAGTGATGAAAAGAGGAGGTAACTTGGTGACTTTCCTGGCTGTTCACATCATAAGCAACAAAAGCGAAGAGCAAAGAAACATGGAATTCTGTTTCTTCTCTGAAATGGAGCCCTCCCTCCCAAAAATGAGAGGATCTAGGAAAGCAGTAAATATTTTCTTAGTTGAATTTAGTCTAATGATAAACTTATTTTTTATAAGCTATAATAAGGCTGATCTGGCTTTTTTCTTTCCCAAAAGATTATTCCTCTAGAAGATCTAAAAGAGGAAGAGGTAAATAGATTTTCATCTAATAAGAAAATAATATGTACATATTTTCCAACAAAGAATCTCATTATATTTCACCTTCTCTTTTAGGATTCCGACATTCATATTCAACAGAAAGTGGTAAATAAATTAGATACTTTACTGCTAAGAAATTAATACAGAGTCTGTTTATAAGAAATTAATAATCCTTTTTTTAAATCCTTTAGATATTTCTTATGGTGATCAGGGTAAGTATATTTAGAGATTATGGTATTTTTTTAAAATCAATGTTTCTTCTTGCTACAACATGAGAGGCTATACATTAATCAAGGTAAAAAGACAAGATATGAAAATAGTGTGCAGAATATTCTGATATTCAAATGTTTACCTTCACACTGTAAGCTACCTTTCTCCAGTTCCTCATCTTTCTACCCCCTACTCAATTAACAAGAGCAAGCTGTGAATGATGACAGCAATGAAGTGAAATAGGGGATTTCTACTATTATCTTCTACATAAGCACAGATTTAGACAGCTGTCCATGAGTAAGAATACCTTTATGGCCATGCAAGAATTCAGTGTAAAAGTTCTAGCACATTATTGCATCATAAAGTCTTGAAATGGATGCATTAAGGAGAGTAAGAACAGCTTCACTTTATCCACATCACCTCTCCCTGGGGAATAAAATTTAATGACACAAGAGGCCTGCTTGAGCATCTCAAGGTCTCACAAGGAAAAGTGACAGTGGAGTAAGAGCTCACCTCATCCAATAATGTGGAATATTACCTAACAGGCCCACTTCTTTTTCAACCCATCCTGAACACTGAAGTGATCATCATAGCTGAATAGTTGGTGGAGGCTGGGAAGTAGAAATAGAGGTGACAGAACTCACTAACCACTCATCAGACTCCAGTGGGAATCCTGCCCATGACGCTACTTGAAATGCCTGAACAGCATCATGTAGACTGGTCCACAAGTACTCCAAATGTTCTGTGCATTTCATGTCTATGCCTAGGGTGGATCTCCGGGGGTACCCCCATGAACAGCCAAGTGGAATGTCTTATGCAGGCAGTTGATTCAACTCTATGGGATTCTAAAAAGTACACAAAGAAACATGAGAGCACCAAAAAGAAACCAGTAATAATTCAGTAATCAACCCCTTAAAATGGAGATTTTCCCAAAATTGTATTTATAATTGTCTGATCAATAATTCAAATAACTGTTCTAAGAAATATAGATAAATACATCAATGATATTTTACAATAGCAAAGTAAAAGTTTAAAAAATATCTAAACAGATGTTTTGAGCTGAAGAATACAATGACAGAATTTTAAAAAGCAATAGAAATCAACAACACAATGGATCAAGTACAAGGATGAATAAGCAAATCTGAATACAAATCATTTTAAAATATCGAGTCAGGGCAGCATTGTGGCACAGTGGGTTCAACTACTCCTGGTTATTCCTGCATCCCATATCAGAGTGCCAGTGAGTCCTGGCTCCTCTCCTTCAGATCCATTTTCCTGATAATGCATCCTTAGGAGGCTGCAGACGATAGCTCAAGTATTTTGATCTGTACCAGTCATGTGGAACTCCCTTTCAGGTTCCCGGCTTCAGCCTGGCCCAGCCCTGGCTACGATGAGCAATTGGACAGTAAACCAGACTAAAGAAGTTTGCTCTCGCTCACTCTCTCATTCTCTCTGTCTCTCTTGCTTGTGCTCTCTCCACTCTTCCCTTTAAGACAATAAAGATAACCAGAAAAATAAGAAATATCTAATCAGAAGAGAAAAAAAAAACTGAAAAGGAACAAAGAAAAATTACAAGATTAAAAGGACTCAGAGAACTAAGTATTGCAGCATGGGGGTCATATTTAATGACAAAATGGCTAAAAATTTCCCAAATCTGGAGAGAGATACTAACATCCAGGTAAATGAAACCCAAAGTTCTCCAATCAGATATCAGATTCAAACCAAAGAACACTTCAGCAAGACATATTATCAAAAACAAAAGACATAAAGAAAATATGGAAGTAGCAGGAGAAAGAAAGTATATTACATACAAAGGAATGCTGAAAGGGCTATTAGTGTTTCTAAGTAGATGTTTACAGACAGGACACATGATGTGTGTCCTCAGAAAGCCTTATTTTTCTGTTTATCTATTTGGGAGTTCCATATGGGTGGTACAGATCGAAATATCTGAGGCAACATCTGCAGCCTCCCAGGGATGAATTATCAGGAAAATGGATCTGAAGGAGAACAGCCAGGACTCACACTGGCTTATTTCTCTAACATAATGATCTCCAGTTGCATCCATTTTGTTTTAAAGACAGGATTTCATTCTTTATGGCTGAGTAGTATTCCATCATTTGTATACACCACAATTGCTTCATGTAAACCTCATGGTAAACACAAAGTAAAACCTATTGCAGGTACACAAAACAGAAAAAGAAAGAAGTCAAAGTACACCCTTACAGAAAATCATCAAATCATAAATACAGTAAGACAAGTAAAAAGGAATTAAGGATTTATAAAACAACCAGAAAATAACAAAATGACTATAGTAAGATCTTATTTTTTAATACTTCAAATGTCAATGGATAAAAGTATCCATTCATAAGACATAGAAGGGGGAGGGAATTTAGTAGAGTGCATAATATGATTGCATCCCCTGCTCAGCTCCTTGCTCCAGCTTCTGACTTCAGCTTTCCATCAACGCAGGCCTTAGGAGACACTGATAATGGCTCAAGTAAGTGGGTTTCTGCTACCCATGTAGGAGGCCATAAGTGAATCTGAAGCATGTGCTTCTGGCTCTGGCCCAGCCCCAATCACTGAGATCTGTGTATCTGTCTCTCCGTTTCTCAAATTTGAAAAAAAAAAAAGACATAGAACAGCAGAATGTGTAAAAGACTCGAACATATTCCATCTACAAGAGACTCACTTCAGCTTTAAAGATACACAGAGAAGGAAAGTATAGGGATAGAAAAAGATATTCCAGGCAAATGGGAAAAATGAGAGAAGCAATAGTTTTCTTATATCAACAAAATAGGTGTTAAACCAAAACTGAGAGCCAAAGAAGTTTATTATACACTAATAAAGGGTTACTCTGTCAAGAAGGCATGACAATTGTAAATACAATTGTAAATACATACATAATCATCAGAGCACTTAAAAATATAAATCAAATATTAACAGAATTAAGAAGAGAAACAGAAAAAACATTAAAATTAGAGAATACCAAAGCTCCATTTAAAATAATGCTTAGATCACCTATGCAGAAATTAAAATGAAGGGGCCAGCACTGTGGCACAAAAGGTAAAGCCATTGCCTGCAGCACCAGCATCCATGTGGGCGCTGGTTCAAGTCACATATGCTCCAATTCCCATCCAGCTGCCTGCTAATGAGCCTGGGAAGGCAGTAGATGGAAGATCTGTCTCTCCTTCTCTCTCAGTAACTCTGCCTTTCAAATAAATAAATCTTTTAAAACATTTTTAAAACATAAAATTAAAAAGGAAATATTGAGCTAGAACTAAATTTTACACAAAATTGACTTAACAGAAAGATAAGCAGTGAAACATACCATCTTCCACCAAATAGCAGCAGAATTTTTACAGTTATTTTTATTTTATTTAAGCTATAAAAATTTCATGTATTTCATATATACTGATTTAGGAACACAGTGATACTTCCCACCCTTCCTTACCTCCTGTCCATGTCCCCATCCTTTTTCCTCTGCCCTCTCCTATTCTTATTTTAATTTTTTAAAAGAAAAATATATTTTCAGTTTACTTTATACTCATAAGATTAACCTGATGCTAAGTAAACAGTTCAACAAATAGTATGAAGAAAAAAAAAGAGGTTCTTCAACAGTCCAAACAAAGACAAAGACTGTAAACGATCACTGAATCTCAAAATCTCAATTTCACTACATTTTAGGAGCTCTATTAGTTACCACAGACCAGGGAAAACATATGGTATCTGTCTTTTCTGATCCAAAGGATCTAGAATATTCTCCAGGATAGATAAAATGCTAGATCACAAAACATGCTTTAACAGGCTTATGATTAAAATCACACCAAGTATCTTTTTCTGACTATAATAGCATGAAACTAGAAGCCAAAACAGAAAATCCAGAAGTATATGGAAATTAACTACCAACCTCCAAAACAACCTATAGGTCAAAGAAGAAATCAAAATGGATATTTTGAAAGTCTTTCATGTACTTGCTGGTTTTTGTATACCCTCTTTTGAGAAAGGTCTGTTCAGATAATTTTCCTACTGTTTATTAATGATTTTCATCTACTTGAAAGGCACAGTGATAGAGAACAGGAAGAAGGTTAAAAAGAACTTCCATCTTCTGGTTTACTTCCCAAATGCCTGCAAAAGCCAGGGCTGGTCCAAGTCAAAGATAGATGCAGGGAGGAGACAAGATGGCAGAATAGGAAGGGAGCACACTGATAGTCCAGGGAGAGACAGTTTAATAAAAGTGGAGATACTGCAGGTTCAAGGAAGAGTAGGGGAGGAAACAGCAGAAGAAACTCTTCCGGAACGCGTGATTCACGGTGGACCTGCGTGGAGAGCGTGGGAGCCCACAGTTTGGGACACCAGCGGCAGCCTCAACATACCAGCGCTGGAACGCGAGGTGAGCCGAACCTCAATAGCCCGAGACACCGGCAGGCAAGTGGAGAGAGGAGACTAGAGGGAACGACCCCTGGGGGGGAAGAGTTCACCATGCTAACTGGAAGAGAGAGAGAGAGAAAAAAAAGGTGACTGGTACAGACACGGGTTTCTCTCTCTCCGCTCACCTCTCAAAGGCGAGCAAGACAAAGAGCAGGCGCCATCTTGGACATACGTCATAAGCAGAGCGACCTCAGGTCTGCACCGGCTCTGAGCCTAGCAGAAAAACCTGGCTCTGGGTGGGGCAAATTAACAGGAGGTTAGGACCTAGTAAATTTGTGGTGCTACTGAACTGAGACTGTGAAAAAAGAGACGGTGGGGGAGAGAACTCACGGAATTCACGTGAGTACTCTCCAGAGACGCTACAATTCCGTAACTTTGGCAACCCAGTAGGAGATTGAAGGAGAATTTGAGCCCACTCTGAGGGCAGAACAGATTCCCTGTGTGGTCCTTGGGAAAGAGCTTCTGATCTCTGGCTCCTGTGGGTATATCATTTGCCTGCCAACTACCTCCAACTTCGTTCAGCTGAGTGGAATTACTTCCCTTTTGAATCAAAAAAAGAAAGAGAGAGAGAGAG